GAGACCGTCAGATGGAATTAGCACATGCTAAAACTCAAGTAAAATAAAATGGATATCCAATAAACACTCTAATCCAAATTTTATATAGCTTCAAACAGTCTAATTTATGAAATAAAGAATAAGAGATTTTTTATTCAATTATAATGGATGAAAACAATATATGATTAAAAAAAGGATTCAAAAATAGAAACAGAGAAACTAAAAGTTCTTCTTTTATGTCCTAAAAAGGATCCTGTTACTCAACTTTGGATGATCTGTTAAAGATGGACATATTCATGATGATTTGCACCCGATCCTTAAAGATCCCAAAAATTCGTTTTCAGTTATCATAATAAAAAAGTCTAAAGTATGAGTATGTTATTTTTTGATATAAAACATCAGATCTATAATTAAGTTTCTTAGTACATACTACATTAATTGATGAAATTCTATCTATTAAACATAAACTATCTATTCGATTTCTTCCAAAATAAACATATATAAATTGCTAATTTCTGATATGATTTTCTACTTTTTCTAGATCTAGATTTTCAGACATCATTTGTGTGTCTTTGTATTATCAAAGATCATCATAGGAATTTATAACTGCTGGATCAGTTTTAAATTCATATTTTTTATTTATATTAATCAATATTTTAAGTTATTTAATAATTCTAAGCTTTAAGCAGGATATTTATTAGATAAATTAATAATATGTAATGTCTTAATTCTTGTCCTATTTGATATCAAATTGTCTGGACAAGGAGAATAATATTCTATGTGTAGTTATTTAAGTTATTTAAAGGATTTTTAGATATTTAGTGAAAGGATCTTATAATTTAAATATGCATCAATGAAGGCATCTTATGAGAATGCAAAAGATACATCATCATCTAGTTTATACCCTAAATAACATTTTTCTTATTTTATGAATAAAATCCTATTTGCTGGGTTAATGGTTGAAATGATAGATCACATACTAAGTCATAGGCTATTTCAAAATTTCATTATGAAATGTCAATTTATTATAATTTAAATTATGGGGATGGCTGTAATGGATATAGATAAATTGCTCTGGTAGTGATGACTCAAATTGGATAGCTTGTTTCAAATTATCAAAGAGTAATTCTTAAAAACTATGGATATAAAGATGTTATGAAATAAAAGGGAAGGATAAAAATAAAATCAGGGGTTTTCCAGCTAGAAATTTTAATAGTTATTTTCAGTTGTAGATTTTCAAATAATAATTAATTCATGAGTGAATAAATAAACTGAGATCATCTGTAGAATTTCTTCCTATCAATTTTTCTTATAAGATTACCTGAAAATTAGACAATTGAATTTGAATCTAAAAGTATTTAAATATATTTCGTCATGGGTTTGATCTATAGCTATACAGAAAAATTTTATGTTTCTTGGAAATTCTATATGAGAATTATCAAGTTCAGATGCTTCAAAGTCTTAATTCGATAAAATCTTTCTATCGTTATTTCTTTGCCTTAATAATATGACTTGTTTATGGCTATATGATTCTCGAAAAGATATCATTTCTCACACTACCTATGGATGTAAATTTTGAATAATGATGAAATAATCTATATTATAAGCATCCTAAGTGATCATTTGACTTTGATTTAAAGTCTCCATTAGTTCTTTTGAATCTAAGATGTGATTTCACAACTCTAAAATATCTGTTACTCTATCTCGTTTTTCTTTCTTTAGAGTCATTAAACTTGTAGTTCGAAATTTATTTTTCTCAAATTGGGAAAATTATAAATATAGCTTCTGATGTGACTAAGTCGTTTTCAGATAGATTACATATTCTTATCGATGAATAGATCGATTTCAGTATAATTTGCTTCGTAATATGCGATGTAATTCTCATTGATGACATGATATGATAGTAAATCATTTTAGAAAAATATCTGAGTTTTAGAAATAATCTATTCTAGTTATGTTAATCAATATAACGCTTATTTGCTGTGTATTATAAGATAAATTAATTATCTAAAATTCAACATCAATTAATAGCTAACTTTTTTAAAATCAAAATTTTCATGTTAAAGTAGATAAGTATTTGAGATATTAGAATTAAAAGAATTTACCTCAGCAAAATTTATAGTATATTAATATCCAGTGATAGAAGTAATCCAAATAATTTATTTTACGCATGATGATTGTAAAATCAAAAAATTGGATTGCTTTAAAAATAAAATTAAGAAACTACTGTTTCAATTACAAATATTTCAATCCTTTGATTCTTATTCGTCAAATGATATCTTCATTTAAAACGAAAGTCTAAGTCACTGATCTGAATTCACACATACTGATTAATAGAGTATGTTATTATTTTATATCCATGTACTCTCCTTAATTCAAAATCCAAAATCAAGATATTAAATGATATTCCTAAATGATTTATTTACATTATCAATAATTGCAGAAAAATTTACGTTTTAATTTTGATCATTCTAATGAAACGTTAAACAATAAATTTTGGTTAACTTTATCATTTGAAACTGTATTTTGATCATATAGTTATTATTAATTAAAATAAATAAATAACTTAATATATTCTTTTTCAATTAATAATAACTCTTTTTTATAGAACAAAATTTGAAATGACATATTTAGAATATACGAATTTGAAATCATTAAAATTTAAAGGAATTATCATAGATAAACATAATTAATCATTTGATATTCTGAATTGGAAATTTAAAATTAAATAACAAGAAAACTTTCATAAATTAAGGGTTAAATTGCATTAATAATTATATCCCATCCAAAAAGATGCCAAATAATATTAATCTTAGTTGTGGGTTTTGCTTTATCAACCTTTAATTTATTTAGGATACAAATGCTATCGAAAACCTCTAGAGAGCCAAGTATCTCAACTCATCATAGCTTTCTATCCAAGTCACAAAATGAAATTTCTTAAAATCAATAAAAAGTTATTTTAATTGCACAAGATTATTTAAAAAATTTGTTAAATTCAATTCTTGTGCTAATTTATTCCTGATGGTGTATGGATGTTCTTAATGTTTGTAAATTTTTGAGTATTATTTCTACAAGCTATGAGATTTTTATATCATGTATAATATTGATATCTATATTTAGAAGGATAGATTAAATAAGAGGTGATTAAAAAAGAAGATGAGAAGTAGGAAGTTTACATATTGATCACAGTTAGATAAACTTGATTTAAATAGTTAATATTATTTAAATCCATTTATTTGATGAATACTTTAATGAATAAAAGAAATCTTTTGATAGCATTATGGGTTATCCTTACACACTGCTATACATTTACACAGGCAACGATCTGTAAATGCACAAAAAAATATAGATGTTATCTAAGATGGGTATGTGATCGAAACTTATAGAGAAAAATGGTTTTGAATAGGCACAGCATGTGTTGAAAATTTTGTGCAAAAGTTTTAGCTACCAACAAAAATGAGTACAAGGGTTTAAAATATTTGAAAATATGTATCTGTGCATCAAATGATGCACAGATGAGGCCAGGCTTTTTAATGCAGTAATTAAAGTATCTTATGTTAAGATATAAATTGTAGCTGAGCTGTTTGTAAAGCAAGACTGTGATAATTTTGTTAGTTTCGTTAGGAATTATTAAAGAACTTGATTTATGGTAGCTTAAAAAGTTAAATCAAGTTCCTTTTGGATAGAACATGCTCTAAAGTCCCAAAACAAATGCCATTAATAAATAAAGAGCAAAATGCATGACTTCAAATGGAGGATATTGCAAATAAAATTTAAATTTGAAAGAATAAATTTGGATATTCCTGGTGAGATTGATGAAAACAATATAACTAGTTGATCTGTGTATGCAATTACCAGGGTTAATAATCCTTATTGGTTTGAATGAGAATTTTTAGCAGATTGCATGAAAGATAGTCTTTACTTTTTTATGGTTGTAATTTATAGGAGTTGTAAAGTTTAGTGTTGAAGCTGTTTGAAATTGTAATTGGATATAAAATAATATAAATTGAATAATTATAATTAATATAATAATTTTAATAGAAATTGGAATAAATATCATAATAATATTAATAATGAATTAATGTGAAGATATAATTGTGAAATGTCCTAATCCAGAACATACTAAGAATGTTAAATAAGTATGTTTTGATGAGTCTTGTAAAGAATAGAGATTATATTGTCATGAATGTATTAAAATTGGAATGCATGTTACTCATCATTAACATTAAGAAGAGTTGCCATTCCTATTTGAACATATTTCAAGAATTGAAAAAGAATCTGATGATTTAATAAATAGAATCAATAAATAAATGGATTTGATTTACAATGACTTCTTTTTATTAATTGGAGGAATTAGATCTAAATATCAGATATCTAAATAATAATTACTCACTTTAAATTTTCAATAAATTAATTCTTTCTTAACTTAGAGTATCCATTTCAAATAATTTAAATTAACTATGGAAAAATTGTTATAACAATTCATAAAGGAATTTTAAGATAAAATAAAGAAATTACAGCATGATTTAAATTTATCTGCATTAGATTATTATCAAATATCTAAAAAAAATATCGAAAAATCAGAAGAATTGTATAAAAAGGGTAATTACATTAATGATTTAGGATATAAATTATATTGGGATGAAGACAAATATGAGGAGGCTATTAACATATTTGATTAAGCATTGAATTTTAATTCAAAACATTAATTATCATTATTTTGTAAAGGTATGATTAAATTTGAATGTATTAGCTGATAGTTTAAGGATGCTTGGTTAATATAATGAAGCTATCATTTGGGCAGATAAAGCTTTGTAAGTAGATCCAAAGCATTGTAATTCATTATTTACTAAAGGTATGATTAAATTTGAATGTATTAGCTGATAGTTTAAGGATGCTTGGTTAATATGATGAAGCTATCATTTGGGTAGATAAAGCTTTGTAAGTAGATCCAAAGCATTGTAATTCATTATTTACTAAAGGTATGATTAAATTTGAATGTATTAGCTGAGAGTTTAAAGATGCTTGGTTAATATAATGAAGCTATCAATTGGGCAGATAAAGCTTTGTAAGTAGATCCAAAGCATTGTTATTCATTACATACCAAAGGTATGATTAAATTTGAATGTATTAGCTGAGAGTTTAAGG